AACAATGGTCAACTTTCCAGTGTAAAACCTGTGCTTATCTGATTTTGCAACTCAGCTGACTTAGGATAGTGATAAAAGCAGGATGGAAAATGGAAACTTTCTATGGATGCTTTCAAGGAGAAGGAAGAACAAAAGTTTGGGTTTTCATTCTCCAGAGTCAGAACTTTATGATGTTTAAGATGTTGGATGCAAAGATGTTAAAGATAACATCTTCAGAAAATTATTACTGGGACCTAACAGAAGGGATAGGACACAACCTGGTTTTTAATTTTCATTTTTATTAAAGTACAGTGTTAACAAATTTTGCATTTTCTACATAAGAAAAACATTGGTCAGCTTCAGATAGTTTATAGAAAAATTAGCATTCTAAAAACAAATATAAATTCATAGTTGGCTTTGTGACCAAGGGTGAAAAATAACTATTAAAAGTTATAAAAATCCTAACCACCTCAGAAACCATTATAAATTCCAAACAGCAGTAGACTTGTTATACATATTAAATTACCAAATTCTAATATAACAAAACATAACCACATAATTTGGTAAGAGTCAACTGATTTCAGAACAGTTAAAAAAAATTGTAAAACTTACCACCTATGACTATAAAAACTTGTAGACTTTTTGCAAAGTTAAAAAAACTCCAAAATTAAATCTTACATAAAGAAAAACAAAACAATTCTCTTAAATTTCTTATAAATACCTCTCAAGACATATATTATACATCTGCTGTAAGCTTTCTTTACCTGAGAATATTTCCCAGGACCTTTACTCCAAAGCATTACCTTACAGAATTCTTCCATTCTCTTACATAAATTATTAAACTTCTATAGAAGTAGATTTGGACATACTCATTCTTAATCTGTTATTCTCCATCCTGCCCCAGTTTTTGTTTTTCTGAGAGGATTTTACTTTTCTAGGGGGAAGAAAATAAAGGATAAATACCTCTTTGGTAAAAGCCAAATCTTTTCTCCTTTCAAAATGACTATCTCTACAAATTTGATTTACTGAGAAGAGATCTTTAGAACGAGTAGCGTTTGTTCTAAAGATCTGTGTAAACATCTCTCCACTTCTGTGAAGTTGAAGGTCCAACATAAGAGAGCTCATCTCTGCCTACAGTACGAACTGTATCTAAATGTTGGACAACTTTAAGATGGTAGGGGAACATGGTGACCTTAAGAACAAAGCCATCAGATGTGAGTTCTTTAGGACCATCCCATAGAGGATTCCATGATCCAAGTGGCTACTGCATTGTCCCTGATAATGGAGGGCAGTGTTCTTTCTGGATGAACAGGGTCTTAGTCCCTTCTTAAGGTCTAGGTCAAGCCTTCTTTTATTTCCAAAAGGTAAGACACAAGAGTACACCAAAACAAAATACTATCTAGAATGGCAGTAAAGAGGGGAGAGAAAAAAAAAAAAAGCAGTAAGCTTAAATACAGATTCTGGGATTCCCATTGTAGGGAATCAGGAAGCACCAATGGTGGTAAACATTTAGAAAATTAAATAAGTACATAATCTTAAAAAAAAAAAAAAGGCAGAGGGTGGCAATTTTGAGTGGGTGGGGAGATTAATACTACACTGACGCCATTCATTCATTCATAAAGAAGGATGCTCTAAGGAAATAATAAAAGATATGGTGTAGGAGTTCTCCTTGTGGCAGTTCCTTAGGGGAGCCAGAACCCCAAAGTCCTAATAACAACCCTCCGAATAACTCACATACAAAAATCTACCCTACAAAAGAACTCCCCCAAACCTCTGACAAACAATTCCCTCAAACCATTTCCCAAGAACTGTGAGGTCAACACCCAAACCAACGAACCACCTAGTATTACAAAAGGTCAATCCATTAAGGTCAAAGCAGAGTTCCAAGTCTTCTGAGAAATTGACTCTGGTCTTCAATTAGGTAACAGGTCTAGTACAAAACTCCCAGAAATATATTCCCTCTCTCCACATAGTGTTTCACTATGAGTACGAAAGGGAAAATAGAAGCATAGATTATTATAATACTTTCCACATCAGACAAATGGCACAGAGGAACCATAGGAAAAAGCTTGATACAATCTTCTTCAGTTTGCATGACTAAAGGAGTCTGACCAACAGCTACTGGGGATGTGCTTTTTGAATCATATACAAAAAGTTGTAGAAAACAAAGATTTATCTTTTTTTAAGTTAAAGGTTTTTTGTTTTTTTTTTACGTTATCAGTGAATTAATCAAATTAGCACTATTATAGGAACTCAAAACAATTGGCACATTTTTTCCCCCAGTTTGTAAAATCACACTAACACTAAAATATCGTTTCTTTAAACCCATGATGACTCATCATCGGAGAATTGTTTATTACTACTGTTGTTGTTGTTAAGTGCCGTCGAGTCGGGTCCGACCCAGAGCGACCCTGTACAGGGTTTCCGAGGGTGTAAATCCTTACGGGAGTAGAAAGCCTCATCTTTCTCCCGCGGAGCGGCTGGTAGTTTCGAACTGCTGACCTTAAGGTTCGCAGCCCGATTCGTAACCACTACGTATTACTACTAGCTGTCCTTAAAGTCAATTTACTGGTATATTTACCAACCCTCTTTAGATTACCCAGATGAACTTTCCAAGATTTTCTGAGGACAAAAATCTGTGGCTGAAACCTTTTCTTTGTATCAGACCAACCTTCAGAGGGGAACTTTGTGCCACAAACCTAATCTTAAGGAGGTGGCCAATGATGGTTTGCTGAACTGGCCAGTGAAGGAAGTTAAAGGTCCTGCTTCTGGCAACATCTTTTCATTTGTGTTTTCCTGAGTTTTTCTTTTAGGGGGAAGTGATGAGTAACAGTCAAGTTTATATTGGTATTGTCTGTAGACTTTGAACTGGTATCAGTGCTAATTCTAAAGACACACCAGATTGCTGCCAGTTCCAGCTGAGAGGGCAAACGGAGGACTCTTACTACACCTCAGCAGGAGGAGAACATACTGAAACTAGTATCTCAGTTCTTATCTGCTGCTTTTCAAATGGTGTTTCCTAAACATCCTCAGAGTGATAGCTGATCCTCACAGGGCCTGCTATATTAACCATCCTATGCCTGGAGTCCTGGTGTGGCGCTGCGGGCTAATGCTCCAGATTGTAAAGCCATTTGAACTGCAAGGTCAGCGGTTCAAGGGTACCAGCTGCTCCTCGGAAACTCTATACAGGTTCACTATAGGTTGGAACCGACTCAACAACACTTAACAACAACACACCATGCCTGCACAGCCCACAGGTACCCTTTCCCATGGGCTTCCTTAGGGTCTCAGAGTGTAGCATGGGGACATTCATTTTGTAGCTCCAGATGGATCTTTAGAAGTAGAGCACAAAGAGCTCCTGCCCTAAAAAATGAAAATTTTTAATATACAAAACAAGGCTCTCTCTCACAGACTGAATGTCTTTACAAAACGGAATCCCAAATACTATATATGAGGCCAGTTCCTGGCAGAATTCATTCATTCTATTTGTCTCCTCAGACCGTTACTCTCTTTTTTTTTTCTTCTCTTGGGAGGAGGGCAAAGAAGTGAATTGTTGTTAAGTACCATGGAGTCGGTTCCAACTCATAGTGACCCTGCACAGGGTTTTCAAGGCTGCAAATATTTATGGGAGCAGAAAGCCTCATTTTTCTTCCACGGAACAGCTGGTAGTTTTAAACTGCCAACTTTGAAGTTAGCAGCCTGATTCGTAGGCAAGAATTTCAACAATTTCCCATGCTAGTCTTTTGGCACTCTATAGAGTCTGGCTTCATGGAACTCAATTCTGCCCAAGTCATAAATGGTATAGAAAGTCAGGTGAGGTCTCATTCTCAAATGCTCTTTGCCGGAACTCAACAGCATTCTTTCCATCCCTACATGAAATACGGACAGGAGGGTCCCTACCATGGCTCCATTGATTGGTATCTTTTGTGGACTTTCCACTGAATAAACCTCTTCCCTGAGAACATCAACACTGAAAACTGGACATCTTCTTGAGTTATATTCTTATTTGAACAATTACTTCCCAAGCATGCATTTTGGACATTTCTGTGGCTATTGTTCATGGCTTATCAAATACTCATCCCTGTCCCCAACTTCATTCCAAAGGATTCTAAGTAGAGTGAAAACTGAGTAACTGACCTTAACAACTGAAAGAGAGGTGCAGCAGGCTTCAGTCAAGAAGTGACATTCCATTAAAGTCCTTAAAACTATAATTATTATCAACAGCACTAACTGTTAGGGTCATAGCCTTCCAAAGAAAACAACATGAATATTGTTCTGAAACCATGTGAAAGACAACACAAATAATTATTGCCATAACTCCGATCAAGTAGTGTTATTATGGGGGCAGGGGAGTTCCACTTGGGGATAATGACGAATTGTGCTTTTTCACATTATAATGAAGATGTAGGGTCCAGAAAAGACAAGGACACCTCTGGGAAGGGCAAGGGCAAATTAAAGTCTGTGATTCCCAGCATCACAACTTCCAAGAGGGGCATTTGGAGACCATGAGGAAACTATACTAAGAAAGGGGTTTAAAAGCCGATGCTGCTTCCTTGACCCTATAAATATCAGGGAGCTGTAAGCAAGAGGCTGCTTTCAGAACCCACAGGCTCCAAAAACAGGGGACTTTGAGATGGGTCTGCATTCTGCCAGGAACAGGAGGCTCAAGAATTTGGCATCTTTTCTATTCTAAGGATGAAAAAGGATATGCCACACAACATAGGTTTTTCTCCCTAAGAAAAGATGAGACGCCCCAGTAAAACACACACACGGAAATTATTAACTTAACTAGTATTCCAGTATCTAGGGTAAGATATACAACATATATCAGCCATGATCAGTATGGTCAAAAATTCTTTTGGGAAAAACTGGTGATTTCTTTTTCAATTTCATAATAAAGAAGGTCATCGGCAGGGTTTTTTTTCTGAAAACTTGTTCAGACCCACTCAAGCCAGTTGGGCCTGTCAACTTCCAGAGGGAACCAGTCACTGTGTAAACACCTGGGATGCTTGTTCAGCTCCTCAGACAGAGAACTGCCGAGAAGGGCAGCAGAGGGGAGCAACCAGCGTCCATAGATACAGCAGCACACACATCCAGCAGGAGGCCACCTTGACCCAGAAGATGGACCAGCTCTTATTGAAGAAGGTTTCCATGTTGGCACTTTCATAACTGTGGAAACAAGAGGCCCAGATATGGTCAGATCAGGAAGAGAGTGGTGGGTGGGGAGAAGGTCTTACAAGGCTTCCTACATCACCACCTTCTCTTCCCTTTGTTTAAAAATAGCTTTCAGATGTAATTCACATCCCTTGCAATCTACCAATTTAAAGTATGTCATTCAATAGCTTTTAGTATATTTACCACAATCCATTTTAGAACATTTTTATCACCCCCAAAAGAAATCTTGCACCCCCTTTAGCCATCACCATCGCTGCCCCATGAATTTATATCTGGACGTTTCAGATAAAAGGAGCCACGCAATGTGTGGTCCTTTGCGATGGGTAGCCATCTTTCATGAAGCATAATGTTTCTTAGAGATTCAGGCATGATGTAGCATGAAATAATACTTCACTCTTTTGTGGGCAGATAACATTCCATTATATGGATATGACACATTTTGTTTTGTTTACCCCTTCATCGTTTGTTACACATTTGAGTTGTTTTCTTTTGGCTGTTATAAATGATACTGCTGTGAACATTCATGTACAAGGTTTCTGTGGCTATTAAGTTTTCATTTCTCTTGGGTATATGCCTAGGAGTGGAATTCCAAGAACATACTGTAATTCTATATTTCATCACTTGAGGAACTACTGCCAGATTATTTTTCAATGTCGCTTCACCACTTCACGTTTCTACCAGCGGAATGAGAGGGATCTGATTTCTCCACATCCTCACCAATACCTGTGGTTGTCTTTTTTTTTTTTCAATGTTTTATTGTGAATTATGTGATAGTTTACATGGGAGAACATTAACTTTACATTCATCCTATCGTATATCGTTTCATTGCCATAGTTACAACCTCCTCCATGCACCATCAACCAACCAAAGAGTATACCCTGCAAGCCTGCCCCCTGGTCAACACACAGCCCCTCTCCCTCTCTGGGTCTAGAGTCCCCAGTCCCCATCTCTCCACGTCATCATCTCTGCCTCCATCTCTGGCTTTACTGCTTCTCTGGGTAGAGTCCCACACTCTGCTCTTCTCGCTTGATGGTTCCAGGGACCTCCACTCCTGGACTGTAAAGTCAATCACTCCCATCCTTTTGCTACAAAACATCTACCTTTACATTTCCAACCCTCACAGTCAGTCCTGAGAGCAGTTATTCACCACTGTAACTGTGGTTGTCTTTTTGCAGATAGCTCCCTCCATCCTTTCTTCAGCTTCCCAAGTCTGAATCACTGGGAAGCACTTAAAAGCACATCGGCTCCCTCTTTCAGGAGGCTCCAGGAGAATCTTCTCAGTGAGTCTTCTCTGACCTTGCTTTGAAACCACCACCCCATCACCCTCAGGGCTCCCCTCCTTTGCCATTTTATTTTGCTCCTCGATACTCAAGAGACCCTGTGGTGCAGTGGTTCTAAGTACTTGCTGCTCACCAAAAGGTCAGTGGTTTGAACCCACCAGTCACTCTTTGGGAGAAAGACGTAGCAGTCACCACCTGACTCCTGAATTTCATTCTGACCACAATCTGTCTCTCCCAGCGGAATGTACGCCCTGTCACCTAAATCAGTGTAGAACAGAGTAGCTGCTCAAATATTTGTTGAGTCAATGAATAAACAGAAACTGTGGATCTGTATAAAAGGAATGAATCTCCATGTAACCAATTGCTGTTGAGTAAATTCTAACTCGGGGAAACTCCATGTATGTCAAGGGAAGACTGTCCCATAGGATTCTCAAAGGCCAATTTTTCAGAAGTAGCTCACCAGGCCTTTCTTCAAAAGGTGTTTCTGGGGACTCGAACCTATAGGTTTTCTGCTAGCAGCCAAGTGGTGTGGTGCTGTGGGATCAACACTGGACTGCGAACCACAAGGTTGGCAGTTCAAACTCAACTGTGGCTCCTTGGAAACCTTATGTAGGGTCACTATTGAGTCAAAACCGACTCGATGGCACTTAATAACAACAACAACATGCCAAGTGCATGACTATATCTGCCTTCAAGAGCACATAAATCTCTATGTGCTGAGAGAGAAAGGTCCTTCAGGAGGAAAAACACACAGAGTCACTTTTATGTCTTCAAAAATAGTATGTTTGTAAATAAATAGAAAAGAAAAGGAAGGACATGCACTGTATTATTGTTGTTGTTGTTGTTAAGTGCTGTCGAGTCAGTTCCAACCCATAGCAAATCTTTACGGGAGCAGAAAGCCTCATCTTTCTCCCGCGGAGCAGCTGGTAGTTTCGAACTGCTGACCTTGCGGTTCGCAGCCCAATTCGTAACCACTACGCTACCAGAGCTCCTGTATTATTAGGAGTGGTTATCTCTGGGTGGGGAGAAGTAAGCAGAATGTCACTTTGTTACTTTCAGTATCTCCACATTATTTGTTTTTGAAAAACCACATTTCACACTTAAAAAAAAAAAAAAAAGACTAAAAATTGTACTTCCTCTTTGTTAAAGCAGGTGGCTAATGGCTCAGAAGTTCTGAGAAACATTCCATCTCTGTTTTTCCTCCATTGCTATGACTATGTGCTTCAGAAATTGCCCCAGTAGAGGTCACCTTCTATTTTGTTAAAGGGACAGTATGAAAGGATACCACCCTCGTGCATACCTTCTCTGATTTTAAACCATTCAGTATTCCCTTGTTCTGTTCAAATGACTGTCTCTTGGTCTCCATATAGGTAACTCATGAGTACATGTTCTAGAATACCCATTCTTTGCAATGTTATCTAGTTTGTTATGATCCACACAGTAGAAGGCCTTGCATCGTCAATAAAGCACAAGTAAACATCATCCTGGTATTCTCTGCTTTCAGCCAAGATCCATCTGACGTCAGCAGTGATACCCCTCCTCCTCTTCTGATTCTGGCTAGAATTTCTGGCAGCTCGCTATTAATACACCATTGTTGTTGTGTGAAGTGCCATCGAGTCGGTTCTGACCCTAGTGATCCTGTTTTTCTGAGGAGCAGCTAGTGAGCTTGAACTGCCGACCTTGCAGTTCAAACGGATTTGCAGTCTGGGGCATTAACCCACAATGCCACACCAGGAGTCCCAATTCACCATGGGCACCATTTAAAATGATCTTTCATAAAAATTTTATTTACATGTGATATTACTGATATTGTACCATTGGGTCACCTTTCTTTGGAATGGGCACAAATATGGATCTCTTCGAATCGTTTGGCCAGGTACCTGTCTTCCAAATTTCTTGGCATAGAATTGCATCCGTTTGTTGATGCTTTTGTGTAATTAATAAAACACAGGTAAACATCTTTTTGTTAGTCACCATTTTGCTTTCAGCCAAGATCCATTTTACCTCAGCAATCTACTACCCGGTGGTCAGTAAAAACCACACTAACCGCAGCAGAACACTGTCTGATCTAGTGCTCCAAGAGTTTTGTTTACTCCAGATTTCATTTAGGCCTAGGTACTTTAAAGTACCAACTAAACTGGCTAGTTTGCATGTAATTTTAAAAAGACTGCCCTTATATTGTCTAAGGAAACAAGTCACATACTTGAACCAGCTGGTAACTGTCATCATCACATAGAGGGATGCCAGGAAGAAGACGAAGTGGAAGTAGGGGTAACTATAGACAGTGCCCCTCTTCTCATCATAAATGACCCGTGATCCTTCTTTCAGATTCTGCTGCTCTTCAGCATCTGTAGGCCACAAAAGGAAACACGTGTTAGATGAGTGTACACATTCACACTTGCTATTTCAGCAGAACCACACTCACAGTTTTTGATCCCAGGGGACACTCAGTAGAAAAGATGTCAAAAATCATTCGTATCCTCAGCAACTTTTATCTTTTCATAAAGTTAAGACTCTCACTACATACCTTCTTTACTAAACTAAACAAGACAAGATATCCAACACCACATTTGTTTTAACAGAGCAGAGGAAAGAGAGCCCTTAAAAACATCAAACTTACTTTAAGCATAAATGAAAAAGAGTAGACCAAATGTTCCCAAGCCTCTGGGGTCCTCTAACCCAAGGAAAAAAGTGGAAGGAAGGAAGTGGGTCAAAAAATTAGGTGTCAGGACCTCCTCTTGGTATTTCACAAAACCACTGCTTAAAAAAAAATGTCCTTTCAGCTTCTCTAAAACTCTATAAATTTAACTTAAACATGGGACAAAATATAGACTGGTTTCCTCCTGCTAGAATATCAACACAAACAAAACCTAGTACTCCTGTGGAAGAAGCATTTAAACAGTAAACAAGCTGTGGAATAAAAATGTCTTCCATCTCATTCAAGTTGGAGTCCCAGTGTGGTGCTGTAGGATAAGTACTGGGCTGCTAGCCACAAGTTCAAATCCACCAGCTGCTCCTCGGAAACCCTATACAGGGTCACTATGAATCGGAACTGACTTGACAGCACTTAACAACAACAAAAATCATTTAAGTTAATATCTGCGCCAAATTCCAAACACCTGCAGAGCAGAGCTCCAGATCTGCAAGGCCTGACTCGTACAGAAGTTATCTACTCACCTTCTTTGTAGGGAGCGAAGCAGAAACAACACCGAGCTACCTGCAAAGGCAAAAACGACAAAAGTCATGTGGCTTGTATTTGACTCTTCACTTTAACATTAATAAAGCACTGAAGGTCTCTTCCACCACCTGTCTGTTGGTTTGTCATACTGTGAGGACCTGCATGTTGTTATTATGCTAACATAATAAATCTGCATGTTTCTATGATTTCCAATCTAATGAGCTGTACACGACATTGTTATGTTTTCAAAAAACATATGTGTAAGTATTCATATGAAAGACAAATATGATATGTCTCCCTTTGTGAGACCCTCTAACAGCACGTCATCAGAAGTGTGTATGTCATGAAAAGTGTAAACATTTTTTGAACACAGACACAGAAGCAGCATGTGAAGTATGTCAAGAATATAAACAAGGCATGCTGGGACAAAAGAAAACATAATACAGTTCACAGTTCATCTCTAAATAACCTCCTTGATCTCTAACTTTGAAGAAGAATCCATTATCTGGTTGACCTCTAACCCTGGAAAAAAGACATAATACACGCCAGTCTTTGATGTCACACTGGTCCTTCTCACAAGGAGCCAAGGTGACAAATGTGAGAGCCAGAATTCTATGACAGTGCCTTGTTTTTTCAGTGCACCCAAGTTTTCCATCGTTGATGGAGTGCAGTCTGACCACTTTCTCTCATTCTCTATTAGTGGAAAACATTTGAGTTTTCCTCCTCTGACAGGCTTCGGCCTAATACAGGTTACATCTTTTGCAGGTCCTAATGTATTAACACTCAATGTCAGCTCCTTCTCTGAGAGAAGGCAGCGGTGTGAGATGCAGCCTGCCACCGTGGCTACAACAATGGACTAGAGCAGGCCAACAACTAAGAAGACGGCACAGAACTGGACCACGCTTCTTTCTGTTGTATATGACTTGATGGTAACTAACAGCAAAGGTCCTACATGCCAAAGTCACCTCTGTGAACTGTATCCCAGGTCCTGGACCGCAGATTTTAGTCCTTCTGCAGACTTTACTGAGTACCTGCATTGTTCTGGGTGCCGGTAATAGGAAATAAAAGGAATATGAGGATATGTCACCCACAAGTCCTTCAAGGAAGGACCTCTTTCTTGCTCACACTACTGAGAGTACTGTCAATGGAAAGCTCCCAGCATCCAGCTCCTCAGACTTTGTCTTAGCTGCACAGAGCTGCCTTCCGTAGAGCAAGCCTTTCTTCGGCAACTCACATCCAAGGCTGAGTAGTTTTGACCTACTGGAGGACATCTTTGATGGACCACTTATGTTCCAGGGCATCCCGTGGGGTTGGTGGAGGCTTTGTTTGGCCCGTCCAGCCTTTTGACATTCAGCATCACCCTCTGCCTAATCCTGCATGTTTCTACTTCTTCCTTAGTCGTGGGCGCTGATTACTAATATGACAGGGTTTCAAGAATGTTGTGACAAATGTGATGAAAAGATAAAGAAACCTTTAGTATCCCCCTCGTATATGCCCTGCACATCAAGCTGTGCATCTGGAAGCCTCAACCTGCAACATGGAATGAACAATACAGGGTATTGGCTCCCATGGAATTCATCTTCTCATGCTTTGCTTTTTGTGCTAATTCATTAAATCCTCTTAAACTTTTGAGGTTGGGATTCTTAGCTGGTTTACAGCTGGGGACAAGACCAGCTAGTGACAGCTGGTACACAAATGCAGGAAGGTGGCTCCAAGGTTCAGACTCCGCAACAGGCGGAAGGTGAAATGGGCTATCTGGGAGATGGCAGATCAGACAAAACCGGAACTGGTTAAAAACTGGTCCTCTTTGTAGGTGTATGGATATTATCCTATCACAGACATCCTATCATACTTCAAGACAGATCTTGCAATGTTATTTTCGATGATGAATGTGATGCCATGCCTCTTCAATCTGTCATTCCCGGCAAAGTAAACCATGTGATGTCAGATTCTGATTGGCCAATACCAGTCCATTGCAAGCTCACTAAAGTCTCGGATATTTATGCTTGTGTATTCCATTTCATTTTTGACAACTTCCAATTTTCCTAGATTCATACTTTGTACATTCTGTGTTCCCATTATTAACAGATGTTTACACTTTATTTTGAGTAGTGCGCCATCAGCAAATGAAGATCCCAAAAGCTTTACTCCATTCATGTCACCACGGTCAACTCTACTCTAAGGAGGCAGCTCTTTCCCAGTTGTATTTTGAGTACCTTCCAACCTGAGGGGCTCATCTTCTAGCACTATATCTGACAATATTCTGGTGCTATGCATCATGATTCAATATTCAATATCTGGGGCTGACAGTGTTCCAGAGCTATTCAAAAGGTTCTCAGTAAGTTAAACATTCAGACGTAGTCTGCAGTTCCTTCTTCTGAATCTGTCTTAGTCTGGAAGCTCAGCTGAAACCTGTCCAACATGGGTGACCCTGCCAGCACTCAAAACACCGGTGGTATAGCTTCCAGCATCAGAGCAACATGTAAGCCACCACAGTACGGCAAACTAACAGACAAGTGGGATTCACTAGTATCTTTCAGTGTTCCAAAACATCATGCATTGAGGTCCTACTTCTTTTTTCAAGCTATCATGAGAATCATTCTCTTTCAAAGGGGGATCCTGTGAAACATGGTGCAAGGAGAACAGCTACTACCTTCTCCGCATGCTCTCCAGTTCAGAAACACTGGGATGCTTTTCCTTGGAATAGCAGAAGAAATCCATCCTCACTTCCTGCTCTGCAATCTACCGTACAGGTTTGCTGCTCTTTAAGCTTTAACTCGGAACACAACACGAATACTGAAACCCATAACCATACCAACTTAGCAGGTGGTCACCCAGGCAGTGGTGTGCACAATCGCCTGCCTTCTAAAGACCAGGCTCTTTCAAACTCAGCAGTTCTCTCCTTTCTTAAGTAACAGAAAGAGTTGGTGAACGATGCTGGCAGATTGACAATGCTGCGTAACGGTTAACGATCTCTAGGTCAGGTACAGGCAAGACCGTCCCAGGAGACCCAGCTGCAGCATACAGTGCCCATATCTGGACAGATAACAGGGTTCCTCCATGCAGAGAAAAGCTGTTAGGATTCAGCCAGTGGTCAAAGGCCAGGCAGGGTTAGCAGCAAAGAGCAAGAGACCCTGGCAGCTGAACTTTTGGGCTTCTGTGGCCAAGAACACAGACTAGGAGCCAGAGTGTACAGTTTAGACCCTGGCAAATGGAAGTCTGCAGGGTTTAAATAACTTAACATTTCTGTTCTCTTCTTCTAAGCAAAACCCAGAAGTCTTCTGAGGCACTCTGGGTGGATTCGAACCACCAACCTTTTGTCTGGAAGCAAGCACATTAACCGTTTACAATACCCAGGGACTTCAGATGTTCCATAAAGTCCCAGACCAAAAATTTTGAATGAGACATTTTGCTAACCAAGAGGCAGTTGCTGACTACCCTAATTCTTTACAAATGCAAGTAGAAAAGCTCACAAGTGTGAAATTAATGTATTTAATGTTCAAAATTCTTTACTGTATGAAACACCTACTTGCTGGGATTGTTGTGCAGTTAAATGAACTAATGTCTACATAATGTTCGGCACAAATTGCCATCACAGAAACGGAGTCTCCCAAGACAAAACAAGAAATGAAGTTACCTCTAGTTCTGGAGCTGCATAGCGCCCTTGCAGAGCATCAGAACTCGATCTTGTTGTGGATGTCAAACTAAAAAGCAAACACCAACAGAAAGTCACCAGGGCATATTACATCACAGTGAACTGTCTGACCTGGGTGCTGATTTGAAGTTACAAAGCTCGCTAATTAAGTGAAAGTTCTCTATCTTCAGATCTTGCTGTTTTCAAAACTGGTTAACTTTAATTCTAGTAGTGTTTGCATTTGCTCATGTGGATTACATGAACTCATTTTAAGCAAAGAGAAGTTTGTAGGGAAACAAATAAGATGTCTTCTGATCATCTTGGTTTTTCACTGTTGGCTTTACCTCTTTCAAAGGCCAAAATAATTTTCTGATAACAGCTTTTATCTTGCCCATCCCTTTGACTAGTCTCAGAACCCAGAGAGGTAATAAAAAGTGAAAGTCACAATTATTTATTAAGGGATCAGCAGCCCTGGAAAATTCAGCAGAGTAGGTCAGTATGATCACAATGCCTTCCTATGCCTTTCCCCATACCCAGAAATGAGGAGCTCTGGTGGCACACTGGGTAAGCTCTCTGTTATCCAAAATGTCAGCCGTTTGACCCACCAGCTGCTCCGCAGGAGAAACATATGGTAATCTACTTCCACAAAGAGTAAACCCTAAGCAGGCAGCTCCACCCTGCCTACACTATACGTTAAAAGCAACTCAAAGATAATGGTATATGCAAAATGTTATATAAATTTAGTTATGGGATAAACAAGCTTTAAATTTTTACAGGATAAAATAAGAACCTGGGATATTTAAAGCAACTAGAAATATGTAAATACTTAAAGTGTGTTATAAGCTCTAAAATTACGATTCAGTATTAAAAGCTGTCTTTTGTTGTTACTGTTGTTAAATGCTGCCAAGTTGGTTTCAACTCAGAGCAACACTGTATAGGGTTTCCAAGGAGTGGCTGGTGGCTTTGAACCTCCAACCTTATGGTTACCCATCCAGCGCTTATCCTACAGTGCCACACCAGGCCTTTACATCCAGTAAAACAGGAAGGGTCTCAATGGCCAAACCAGAAGTTCCCTTCCCCACTCTCCTTTCACTGCTAAGCTAGGGTCACACAGTCAAACACTGTCCTTATATGGCACCGACCAAGAGCAACCCTATGCACAACAGAACGAAACACTGTCCACTACTGTGCCAACCACACAAAATCATTGCTATACCTGAGCCCACCGCTACTTCAATTATGCCAAACCATCTCATTGGGGTCTTCCCATTCTTCTTCAACCCTCAACTTTACCAAACGTGACATCATTCTTCAGGGACTGATCCCTCCTATTAATATGACTGAAGCATTAGAGATGAAGTCTGCCCACCCTGGCTTCCAAGGAGCATCCTGGCTATACTTCTTCCAACACAGATCTGTTTGTTCTTTTGGCATATCGTGGTACTTTCAATATTCTCCTGCAACATCATAACACAAATCCAACAATCCTACAGTCTTCCTTATTCACTGTCCAACTTTCACATGCATATGAGGTTACTGAAAATACTATGGCTTGGGTCAGGTGCACCTTAGTCCTCAGCATGTAGCTTTTAACACTTTAAAAAGATCTTCTAGTGCAGCAGATTTACCTAATGCAGTACATCTTTTGATTTCTTGACTGCTGCTTCCATGAGTATTGATGGTTGGTCAAAGCAAAATGAAGTCTTTGACAATGTCAATCCTTTCTTCATTTATATGGATGTTCTTTATTGGTCCACTGGTGAGGATTTTTGTTTTCTTTACATTGAAATGCAACTCATACTGAAGGCTGTGGTCTTTGATCTTCATCAGCAAGTGTTTTAAGTGCTCTTCTGCTGGGAGCGGCCGATGAGGGTAGAGGACAGCTTCGATTTACTGCTTGACACAGTCCAGTAAATAGTAGAGTAATCTGGCAGAGCAGATGGCTCTCAAAAGTTGCTTTCTACCTTCTCTATAGAGTAATCTTAATTTTACTTATAAATATATATATAATTTGGCAATATTCTCAGCTTTCACTATGAGTTCTATAAACCTTAGGAAAAACTAGCTTAGCAACAATTGCTTTCAGCCTTGGTGGATTGAATACAAAGAGAAATTGTATAAATTGCTCCCTTTCCTTAGAAAACTTAAGTAACTGCATTTGTGGGCCACAAAAGCAGATAGCATTTAGAGTCGAGCTGACCTACCCCCATAAACCTCACCACAATCAGTCACTAGCTAGAATTCACAAACCCCTACATACAAGCACCTGTGTAAACAAGCAGAAAATAATGAACTTAAGTAAAAGATAGTTTTGATTCAACAATCTATACTTCCTGTAACAATCAGCCAAGTTGGGCTTTATGCCATATAACTTCCAAGCAATTTAATGAATACTTTAGAAAAATAAGTAAGTAGATGTTAGTTTTACCTTTATTATAAAAATAAATAATACATTATGTAGGATAGAAAGTTGATAATTAGTAAGAATAATGAGGTAGTGTAAGCATTAATGATTAGTAGAAACTTATGTTACTAAGAAAGTGTAATCAGTAGTCTGATAAGTAGCAATGATTTGTGTAAGGTTTGACTTAATCTTTAAGTGAACACAAAAAGAAACCGTTTATCATATGCTGAGGAAAGAGATGAAGGTCAGTTGAACATCACAGAAATACTTTTGTCAAAGTTGTCTAATGACCAGGTGCAAGAATGTTGTGATTAACTGTGTAGTAATTCAAGAAAAGATCAAAGTGTTAGTTCATTATGTACTGTGTACTTTTAAGTATAAAAAAATAAAGACTTGCTGGGCTGAGGGGGCAGAAGCAAGAGAAGAAGCAGAGAGCAGAGGGCAGGGGCTAGAGAGAACAGCCAGACAGCAAGAGAACGTTGAAAAGCCTCTCGAGTTGTATTCATTTCTTCGTCCGACGATTTCACGTATCCACTCATGTCCCACGACCCTCGCGGGAGCAGCAGGCACTCCCCGCACTCTTCGCTTTCAGCAAGCAAGGTTGTATTAGCTGCATATTAAGGTTGCTAATGAGTCTTCCTCCAATCCTGATGCCACGTTTTTTCTTCATAGAACCCAGCTTCTTGGATTATTTGTTCAGCATACAGATTGAATAAATACGCTGAAAGAATACAATCCTGATGCACACATTTCCTAATTTTAAATCATTCAGTGCTCCCTTGCTCTGTTCACACAACTCCCTCTTAGTCTGTGTACAGACTTCTCATGAGTACAATTATGTGATTCAGAATACTCATTCTCTACAATGTTGTCCCATAGCTTGTCATGACACACACAATCGATAACAGTCAGTTGGCCTTTGTGTAGTCAATAAAACACAGGTAAAAATCTTTATGGTATTCTGTTTTCAGTCAAGGTCCATCTGACATCAGCAATGATATCCCTTGTCCTTGTCTGAACTCGGCTTGAACCTCTGGCAGTTCCCTGTCAATACATGGTTGCAACCATTTTAAAATTATCTTTAGCATAATTTTGCTTGCATGGGATATTAATAACATAGCCCTATGATTTCCTCATTCTGATGGGTCACCTTTTTTTGGAATGGGCAAAAATATGGATCTCTTCCAGTCAGTTGGCTAGGTAGTTGGCTTCCAAATTTCTTGGCACACATGAGCGAGTGCCTCCAGTGCTTCATCAGTGTGTTGAAAGATTTCAATTTGTATTCCATCAATTCCTGAAGTCTTGTTCTTTACCAATGCCTTCAATATAACTTGTACTTCAGTACAACAGCCTGGAGTTGCATATGAGCAATTGATGGCCTGTTCCATAGTCTGCCCCTGGCCTTGCTTCAGCTGATGATATGGAGCTTCTCCACTGTCTCTTTTCACAGATATAGTCAATTTGACTTCTGTGTATTCCATTTGAGAGGTCCATGCATACAGTCGTCTATAATGGTGTTTAAAAAAGGTATTAACAATGAAGAAGTCGTTGATCTTGCCAAATTCTATCATGTGATCTCCAGCATTGTTTCTATCACGGAGGCCATATTTCCCAACTACTGACCCTTCCTCTTTGTTTCCAACCTTTGCATTCCAATCACCAGTAGTTATCAATCCATCTTGATTACATGCTTCACCAATTTCAAACGGAAGAAGTTGGTGTGTAAATCTTACTAATAATGATATTAATTAACTGGTCTTCCTTGTAGCTGTATGGTCATTATCCTATCACAGACAGTGTTGTATTTCAAGACACATTTTGATATGTTCTTTTTTTTAAAGCTTTTATAGTGAATTGAGTGATAGTTTACATGGCAGAACAACTGTTTTGTACTCAATGATATTTTTTTTCATTGCAATGATTACAATCCCCTCGATGCACCATCTGTTAACAGTATTTGCCTCTATTCCCTACTTTACTTGACATGCACAAAAACATGCAGGACTATATAATCGTTTAAACAACCAAAGGGGACATTTTGCAAACCAGACTCCAGTCCCCCAGCACACAGCCTTTCTCGTTCCCTGAGTCTAGAGTCCTCAACTGCTTTCTCTCTCCATGCCATCATCTCTGCCTCTATTTTTGGTGTCACTGTTTCTCTGGTTAGGATCCCACATTCCACTCACACTCTTCTTTCTTGATGGTAGTAGGGTCCTCTGTTCCTGGAATGTAAGATTCACTACTCCCCCCTTTTTGTTACACAACTTCTACCTTCACAGTTATGACAATAATAATTAATAATTAGTCATGATAACAATTACTCACTATTGAATCAAAAGATTCCTATCCCATCTTTCACCAGACCCATCTAGACAAGATGAAAACTATCCAGCAGGGATTCTACCTTCCCCTGTATGCTCTGAAGTGAATCTCCCTCTTGAAAACTTGCAAGTCATGCCTTTACAGCCTCCCACAGGCCCCAATTTAGGTAGCTAATGTCTAAGATGCCCATCCATATTAACCCTGTAAACCAAGGAGATAGGCTTGATCTTTGATGAAAAGTCTCCTTCCCTTGTGGTTGGTATTTGAAGATACTATATACATACATGGAGGTCAAGCTCATCAAATTGTAGCAACTGACATTTGCTTCCTATATCAAACGTCTT